ATATATATATATATATATATATATATATATATATATATATATATATATATATTGTCATGTATGGAATGTGTCGTTTTTTTTTAGCCCAGTTGACTCATTATCTGAAAAAAAAAAATTTCCCGGATTTTGACAACGCCAAAGTCCATTTGAGGATGAAATATATTTTTAACCTTGGAATATGTTGCTTTCCTGTATATATTTAAATAAGTATTATATTGATTTTTAAATTGTGAAATTAAATAAAATAATTTTGTTCATCTTAGTTTATACCTGCTTGACACATCTTTAAAAATCCATTTATTGAACTCCTCAATCAGGTCATCTGGAACATCAAACCCATTGTGATTTTGTAATGGATGTTTGATTTGAAAAAATATAGGTACTCTATTTGAACTGCTTTCCCCTTCCGACATTCTGATTTAAGGAGAAGAATCGTATTTTCGTAGATTCTTATGTCTTGTTTGCACATTTGGAGTCGTGGTAGCTTTAAGAATTGGATCAAGTGCGATTATTTGTGTCATAGTAAAATCAAGATAATCGTCCAATATTGGTGGTTTTGATGTTGACGTTGTAGGTGCGTCAACGTTGAAACAACCATCAGTTGACTTTTGAGCTTTATGTACATAAAAAATAATAAATAGTCATATAAAAATAATTTCTTAAATTTACATATATGTAATGAAAATGAATATATCGTACCAGCTGTGTTTGACATTGGGACGTGTTGTCCAATTGAAACTGTAGGCATAGCTGTTGGATCAGATTGTGCAGCATGTTGATTGGCGTTGTCCTGAAAATAATTTTTAGATAATATGAAATTTTTGCAGATATTAATGTATTCTGAATTATTTGTAAGAAATAAATTAATAGATTGCAAATTAAAAAAAAACTTGCATATATGTTTAATACATCATTTTTTCATTAATCATACGTAATTTCAAAATACAAATTTCATACATGATTAATACAAAGCATTTATATATAAATGATGAATATATACACATTTCATACAATATATATACATAATTCATATATATATATATATACGATGTGTTGTTATATTTGTTCATTTAATAGTGAAAAAGAGTGACAATAATAATATGAATAAACAACTAGTATAAAAACATCAATTTATATAGTTATCAAACAATATTAATACACAAAATATACATATATATATATATATACCTCTGGTTGTTCTTCTGGTATTTGTTCTCCTCTTGACAATCGAATTTCTTTAATTATCAGTTTGGTCGAGTTATCAACATAACTCTTGATATTAGCCATGTGCTTGTCAACCTTATCGTTGTACAAAAAAAATTAAAAAATAAACAAATTATAAGGTAATTATATTAATTCTTTAAAAATATGTTGGAACTTACAATGAGTTTGAGTTCTTTCAACTCTGTCTTAACCTGTTAATTAAAAAAATAAGTATTTGATATGTATATTGTAATTTTAAAAAAATTATTTTAATTTGAAATTTGTACTTGTACCTTTGCAATATCAGCTTTCAATTCTTCAACTTTATGTTCACTATCAACAGCACGATTTTCTGATGATCTGTGATTTTCTGAATCATGGTGGCTACTGGACTGAATTAAAATGGTTTCGTCCATGAAATTTAACTCTTCTTCAGAAAAAATCATATTTCTGAATTTATTTTGCAGCAAATAAAAAAATTAGAATGTATATTGATTTATAATGAATCTAATAACATTCTATGAAAAATACCTGATTGCCATGTGTTCTGAAAATTGTTTTCTTCAAATCGTCAAAAAAGTGACGTCATTAGGTGTCTTCCAGTTCAGGGTTCTCGATGTGCGATTTGAAACACGTATAGCAATTGTGTTGTCAAATGGATGACAACACTCATAAAACCATATCTGCAATGCTATGTGGAACTGGCTAAATTTGAATGACGATGGATTGTTTTTAAATTTTTGACTGCATGCTTTGAGTGTTAAATTAAAACACGCATTTGCCCAAGGAAATGTGTCATACTGTCCAGACTCGATCAAATCAAAATACAATTTTGGAATTGTTGTTTTTGAAGGGTCCGATGCAATCAGAAAAGAAGAAACAAAGTACAAGATTCCGATTTTTAAACGGTCATCTTCTTCCCAAAAATTTTCCAATTTAAACTTGTGATAAAAATCTGACTTGGATACTTTATTAAAATCCCTAAAATTTTCAGCAATGAGTCTCTTTGAAACATATGGGTCAGATACAAAATCAGACACAGGTGCACATTTCAGACCGGTTATAGCAACAAACTCTTTTAACCCAAAATGTAACTCTTAACCATTTACATTTATGACAAACATGTCATCCCTAACATTTTCATTCCCAAGTAGAAATATGTGTATCGATAATTGACATTGGATTTTAATGTTATACAAATTATGCGGATCTGTTAACCTTTCTAGGTCAACATAAATTTCAACAATTCCTAGAAGAAACACCTTTTGAATTTTTTCATAATTTGCATAACATTAAAATCAATGTCAATTGTTGAGACACATATTTCTACTTGGGAATGAAAATGTTAGGGATGACATGTTTGTCATAAATGTAAAAGAGTTTGTTGCTATAATTGGTCTGAAATGTGGACATGTTTCTGATTTTGTATCTGACCCATATGTTTCAAACAGACTCATTGCTGAAAATCTCGGGGATTTTAATAATGTATCCAAGTCAGATTTTTATCACAAGTTTAAATCGAAAAATTTTTGGGAAGAAGATGACCGTTTAAAAATCGAAATCTTGTACTTTATTTCTTCTTTTCTGACTGCATCGGACCCTTCAAAACAATAATTCCAAAATTGTATTTTGATTTGATCGAGTCTGGACAGTATGCCACATTTCCTTGGGCAAATGAGTGTTTTAATTTAACACTCAAAGCATAAAGTCAAAAATTTAAAAATAATCCATCGTTATTCAAATTTAGTCAGTTCCACATAGCATTGCAGATATGGTTTTATGAGTGTTGTCATCCATTTGACAACACAATTGCTATACGTGTATCAAATCGCACACTGAGAATCCTGAACTGGAAGACACTTAATGACGTCATTTTTTTGACAATTTGAAGAAAACAATTTTCAGAACACATGGCAATCAGGTATTTTTCATAGAATGTTATTAGATTTATTATAATTCAATATACATTCTAATTTTTTTATTTGCTGCAGCATAAATTCAGAAATATGATTTTTTCTGAAGAAGAGTTAAATCTAATGGACGAAACCATTTTAAATCAATCCAGCAGCCACCATGATTCAGAAAATCACAGATCATCAAAAAATCGTGCTGTTGATAGTGAACATAAAGTTGAAGAATTGAAAGCTGATATTGCAGAGGTACAGGTACAAATTTCAAATTAAAATAATTTTTTTAAAACTACATTATACATATCAAATACTTATTTTTTTAATTAACAGGTTAAGACAGAGTTGAAAGAACTCAAACTCATTGTAGGTTCCAACATATTTTTAAAGAATTAATATAATTACCTTATAATTTATTTATTTTTAATTTTTTTTGTACAACGATAAGATTGACAAGCACATGGCTGATATCAAGAGTTATGTTGATAACTCGACCAAACTGATAATTAAAGAGATTCGATTGTCAAGAGGAGAACAAATACCAGAAGAACAACCAGAGGTATATATATATGTATATTTTGTGTATTAATATTGTTTGATAACTATATAAATTGATGTTTTTATACTAGTTGTTTGTTTATATTATTATCACTCTTTTTCACTATTAAATGAACAAATATAACATCACATCATACATATATATATATGTGAATTATGTATATATATTGTATCTAATATGTATGAAATGTGTATATATTCATCATTTATATATAAATACTTTGTATTAATCATGTATGAAATTTGTATTTTGAAATTACGTATGATTAATGAAAAAATGATGTATTAAACATATATGCAAGTTTTTTTTTAATTTGCAATCTATTAATTTATTTCTTACAAATAATTTAGAATACATTAATATCTGCAAAAATTTCATATTATCTGAAAATTATTTTCAGGACAACGCCAATTAACATGCTGCACAATCTGATCCAACAGATATGCCTACAGTTTCAATTGGGCAACACGTCCCAATGTCAAACACAGCTGGTACGATATATTCATTTTCATCACATATATGTTAATTTAAGAAATTATTTTTATATGACTATTTATTATTTTTTATGTACATGAAGGTCAAAAGTCAACTGATGGTTGTTTCAACGTTGACGCACCTACAACGTCAACATCAAAACCACCAACATTGGACGATTATTCTGATTTTACTATGACACAACTAATCGCACTTGATCCAATTCTTAATGCTACCACGACTCCAATTGTGCAAACAAGACATAAGAATCTACGAAAAATACGATTCTTCTCCTTAAATCAGAATGTCGGAAGGGGAAAGCAGTTCAAATAGAGTACCTATATTCTTTCAAATCAAACATCTATTCCAAAATCACAATGGGTTTGATGTTCCAGATGACCTGATTGAGGAGTTCAATAAATGAATTTTTAAAGATGTGTCAAGCAGGCGTGACAGGTATAAACTAAGATGAACAAAATTATTTTATTCAATTTCACAATTTAAAAATTAATGTAATGCTTATTTAAATATATACAGGAAAGCAGCATATTCCAAGGTTAAAAATACATTTCATCCTCAAATGGACTTTGGCGTTGTCAAAATCGGAGAAAAGAAATTTTTTCACATAATGAGTCAACCGGAAAAAAAAACCACACATTCCATGACCAAAAAAATATATATATATATATATATATATATATATATATATATATAT